GTAACAGTTTTGTCCAGTGATAAAAAGTTAGAAAAGTTCCTGGTCCGACCTGTTCATCCACAGGTGAAAGGAGTCGCTGGAGGAAGAGGAGGAGGAGGAGAAAGAAGGAGGAAGAGGAGGAGGAGAAGGAGGAGGAGGAAGAGGAGGAGGAAGAGGAGGAGGAGGACAAGTGTGGTTAAAATTCAGAAAAAATATTTTTTGGGTACGCCAACTTTTGATCACAGCAACATTCTATCCCAATAAATTCCTGAAGTAATCTCTGAAAAAAAAAGTTTCTCAAAAATGACTAAAAATGCACTCATTTGCCTTAAAATACTTAGCTATGTCCATTTTTGTGGTTAAAATTCAGAAAAAAAATATTTTTTGGGTACGCCAACTTTTGATCACAGCAACATTCTATCCCAATAAATTCCTGAAGTAATCTCCGAAAAAAAATGATGATCGTCCTGATGATCGTCCTGATGATCGTCCTGATGATCGTCCTGATGATCGTCTTGATGATCGTCCTGATGATCGTCCTGATGATCGTCCTGATGATCGTCCTGATGATCGTCCTGATGATCGTCTTAACCAGGGTAAATCATCTGATCACGTCCTCATACGACTGTTGATGGGATGTCGACCACTGTGGCAGCCGTACGGTTACCAAGCAACTGTGGAGCACAAATGTGGCGCTGTCTCCCTCTCTGTCCCTCTGTATTGGTGTCTAATACAGACACTAATACTACACAAATATAACTACACCGCGGGCCACATTTGGCCCCCGGGCCTGAGTTTGACACGTCTGCTTAAAAACGTACCCTTTCTTTGTGATGTGGACCGTGGAGTTTCTGAAGTCTGTGGAGACGGACCAACAGGAGGCGCTGCAGTCACAGTGACGTCATCACACAAACAGCCTTTCTGTGGTAACCATGGAGACCAGGACTCCACCTTCTCAACCCTGACTCCGGGGCCTCCAGAGTTTCTGTGTCGGTTCAAAGCTTCGTCCTCGCTCCTTTCAGCACAACGTTCTCCATAGAACACTCGTCCTTCACTTCTTCTCTTCCATTCACTCTGAACGCGTCATCGTCGCCGCCTGACGCTAACGGCTGTGACTAGAGAAGAAGAGAAAAAACAGGAAGTGGAAACAGTTCCACTGGAGAACTGTTGGTGTCTGTGGAACACGTTCTTCCCACGTTCTGTTCCAACACCTGAACGTCTCTCAGTCTACGTAGGACCTGACGTCTGGGTTTGATAGTGGGTTTTTAGGAGCATACTGCCACCTACTGGACTAGAGTGTGTAGTGTCATGGTCTGACCAGTGACTTTTTCACCTTGATGAGTTTGCATCGTTACAGCCCGACAGGTCACTCACCTGAACCCTGCCATCGCCGCCCGAGGTCAAGGGTTCCTCATCGTCCACCCTCATA